TTATCCCGTGAGGGCCGTAGGTCTGGGGGTAACGACCAGGGATGTGTCCAAGGACCGGCAACCCGAGGCCAAGGCCAAGGCCAAGGACTTGCCTCCGAGGCCAAGGCCAAGGCCAAGGACTTGGAAAATTTTCCGTTACTAACTACAGCCCCCCGGCTATCCAACCCGACCAGTCTGGTACGAATCCGATGTTGCAATTGGGAATAAAATGCCCCTGAAATGGGAAAATATGCCCTTATTCCCGAAAAGTTGGCCTGAACGCCTAACATGTGGACATTTTAAACCGCTTTTAAAAAATTATTAAAATATAGACCTTCGTTATCCCGTGAGGGCCGTAGGTCTGGGGGTAACTACAGCCCCCCGGCTATCCAACCCAACCACTCTGGTATGAATCCGATGTTGCATTTGTGAGTAAAAGGCCTCCGAAAAAGGAAAATATGCCCTTATTCCCGAAAAGTTGGACTAAACGCTTAACATGTGGACATTTTCGACCGTTTTTAAAAAATTATTAAAAATTAAACCTCCGTTATCCCGTGAGGGCCGTATCTCTGGGGATAACTACAGCTTCCCGGCTATCTAACCCGACCAGTCTGGTACGAATCCAATGTTGCATTTGGGAATAAAAGGCCTCCAAAAAGGGAAATTATGACCTTTTCCCGAAAAGTTGGCCTGAACGCCTAACATGTGGACATTTTCGACCGTTTTTAAAAAAATATTAAAATATAGACCTTCGTTATCCCGTGAGGGCCGTAGGTCTGGGGGTAACTACAGCCCTGCGGCTATCCAACCCAACCACTCTGGTACGAATCCGATGCTGCATTTGGGAGTAAAAGGCCTCCGAAAATGGAAAATATGACCTTATTCCCGAAAAGTTGATCTGAACGCTTAACATGTGGACATTTTCGACCGTTTTCAAAATATATTAAAAAATAAACCTTCGCTATCCCGTGAGGGCCGTAGGTCCGGGGGTAACTACAGCCCCCCGGCTATCCAACCCAATCACTCTGGTCCGAATCCGATGTTGCATTTGGGAATAAAACGCCCATGAAATGGGAAAATATGCCCTTATTATTATCAGGTCATTATTTCCCTTTTTATTATAAGGTCACATTTTCCCTTTTCAGAGGCCTTTTATTCCCTAATACAACATCGGATTCGGACCAGACTGGTCGGGTTGGATAGCCGGGGGTGCTGTAGGTACCCCCAGACCTACGGCCCTCACGGGATAAC